TTAAAGTAGCTTTCAAACTTATAACGGCTTTTTCAAATTTAAAATCAATATCATATGTTATGTAAAAGTCGGTTAAGCTGCAGTTAATAATAGAAAAAATAATTTAATTAAGTTTTAGTACGGAGCTATGAAATATAAAGTAAATTCGGTTTGTCTCCAACATGGCAACTATTGAATGCAAAACACCCGAAGTCTATATGTATTTTCACTGTCGAGATCTCAGTGTACCAGCCTGACATCCAAAGTGAATATAAAAACGTATTGTTCCAATAAGAGAATACAGAAGAAAATGAAATTATGACGCGAAGAGAATTTCTTCTCGGCTGTTGCCGATCAAACCATTCGCTCGTGTGATCTTTGCACATGTTTTCAATGTTATCATGAATAATACTTTTTCTTTCGCTTCATAAAGTTTCATATTAAGTAACAATCAGCTTTAAAAATATAAAAACAAAAATTTAATAAAAAACAAATATTTTTTTGAAGTTGATGTGGTCAGCACAAGAACATGTGTCCGAAAAAAAATCGTCAACTGATTAAAATGATTCACGCGCAGTCAATGGAGCCTGAAAAAGGCATCTTTGTAGACAAAAATAATTTTTAATCACAAACAGATTGGAAGAGTTGACCGGGGTTTTTATTTATGCCATTATAAATGAACACGCTCAACAATTTTTTCATTAAGATTATAAAAAAACAAAATTTTTGATGAATTTTGTTTTGAATATTTTTTTGGGGTTAATAAATGTTTTAATCATGTGATTTTTTTTTCATTTTGTAATCATATGTTGTGGCACGTGCAATAGCTTTTTTTAATTTGACTTGATTTTATTTGAGAAAATTGATGTGCGTCAGTCAAGAGTTAATCGTCATTTATTCTTTTTAGGATTAATGTCTTGAAGGAAATTGAAAAGATTATAAAATTAGAATAAATTGTTATCACAAAACAAAGCAAAATACATGACCTAGAGTACGTGATTTTTAAAAGTTATTAAAATTGATTTTTAGCACGGCTTTGTAACTTACTTACTTACTTCGATGACCTTACAGATCAACGGATTTGTAAATTAAAGTCAAATTACAACAAATATAAAAATTTAAGTCAAATTGCTATGCTTTATAAACTGAATCACATCCAGGTGTCATAATACACAATCGCTAATTTGCAACATTTTGAAAAATATTATCAGCTTATGTTTACGTCGCATGTCCAAAATATTCATCTTAAAAATTTAATAAATGAATGAATTTAATTAAAAATAATTTTACTCATTCCTCGTGGTTAATTGCTCTTTTTTCCAGAGAAATACGCGACCTGAGGCATGAAATAATAATAAAGACGAAAATTGATAAGACGATGATTAAAATTTATATAAATTGTTTGTATTTAAAGCAAAAGCCTTTCTTTTATTTTTGGACGACATTATCTTCGCAAAAGTTTTTTTTTTCGTTCACGCGAATGCCATTATACCGGATTTTGATTGAATGAATTCTTCTTTATTATCAAACCTTTGAAAATAAATTAAATTAAAACAATATAAAACAATACTTGTAGGTTTCTTAAGAAATCAAGAAAGTTTAAAGAAGCAAAAGTGCCTTGATAGCTCAGTTTGCAAGGTACAGGTCACAAAAGTTGGTGTTGAAACTTGACTCCCGGGTTTGAATCCCACCATTAGCCTAGTGATTTTTCATAAATTTAGATACTTTTGCTTCCTAGGTGCAGCGGTTTAAGATGTAAAACTAAGAATTAGGCAATGTGAGATGTAGGAACGGGTCAAGAATTATGTAGACAGAATGAGAAAGATACGAGAGCCGTAAATTCACCATGAATGGCTTTTACTGGAACGGACCTGGAAAGCTGTGAGAGAAGTCAGCGGGAACAGGTTCTCAGGTCGAGCTGAAACTTTGTCAAAATTACGTCCATATTACGTCCAATTACGTTCCGTATTTGAATATTCGTCTCTTCATGGCGAGTAAGTATTCATTAATGTCTTTGCAACTAGACTTAGGAACCACTAATGACATTTTTTGGACGTTCCATTTAACTGGACATAGGTATTACACATTTGTCTAGTTGAAGTCTATTTCTGTATGTCTCATGGATTTTGGCAAGTTAAAAGACTGGAAAATGTATGTCAATATTTAAGTTGGTGTTCTAGAGACCTTTAACGAGCATCGTTTGGTGAAAAAAAGCAAAAATCAGAAAAGTTTATTTATCAGTGAAAGTTTTTCCATAAATAAATTGAACTTAAAATTTTTTTGATCTCAAAAAATCTTACCCTTTTATTTTCTTTCAAAACTCCCTCTCGGTATTAAGCTACCAGCTTAGCCTATGAAAAATATAATTTTTTAAAACTTAATTTCTTAAAAAGAACACAAACATATTCATAAAATCTTACAAAATACAAGAACACTTTTAAAAATTTGAAAAAAAAATCATAAAAGTTTACACACAAATTAAAAATCATGTACATGTGTCTTAAGTCTCGTCCCCCATTCCACCATTTTTTACCATATTCACTATTATGTTTCATCATATAAACAATCTTAATTTCATCTCATTTTAAATAGAACAGTTACTTAAGGAGCACAAAGCAACTCCCTTCATTTAATTCATTCATCTTGAGCATCTTCATTTTTTTACTCTCTCTTTGAGGGGTTCAAAATGTGTTTTTTATATAAAAATATAAGAAAAAAAAATTTAAAGATTTTTAAGCAGCAGCACGCGTTTGTCGTGCAACAAAACAAAAAAAATCTTCATTCTTAAAAAAAGACAATTTTTTATGGCTTTGAGATGAAAATCTTCACCCTCGAGTTATTTTTTTATAAGAAATGTGCACGTAACTATAGGAACTAAATATATAGAGATAAGACATAAGGTAAGACGAGTGGCAAACATTAAACATCAGTGCATGAATTTTTATCTAATTTTGTGTTTAATAAGAATTAAAAAATAGGGAAGAAGATAGAAAAAAAATTGGAGGATGTGAGGATGACACTTGGCACCTGAAATAACAATTTTTATTCCTCATTTGAGATTTTTTTCTCTTTATTTTTTGTGGTGAACATTTAGGAAAGTTATGAAAGTTTTTTAAAAAATGAGTTACAAGTGCTAAAATGGTTAATTAATTTAGCAACTTCATTCAACTACTTTTGTATGTTTTGGTCGAATCGTAAGATATAAATTATGCTTATACAGCATAAGGGTGTGGATTTGATCAGTTTTGATCAGTTACAATTCAAAGAAATTCTAAGTCTTTTTTAAAGAAACAAACTTTAACATTCAGACCTTGAGATCTATAGCTGCGCTTTACTTTCGTACAAAGCTAATGATAGTTTACTTAGACATGGTTCGCAAGACCTCCCGCTCAAACCTAGACCTACAGTTTATAGTGGGATCCAAACCACTCTTCTGATGACATTTCTGCTTGGAGCCTGGCTATGCGCCTCATTTCTAGTCCATATGATTCGAAAATGGACCAGTGAAAAATTCCCAAATCGAGGCTACAACCCATGATTGCTGTGTCGGTATTGGAATAATTAGATACCGAAGTACTTGATCATTCAGTCACCGAGCCATTTCAGCTCAAGTTTTTGGCTTTAGTTTATTTCATGGTTTATTTCCATTCGCGTTTTTTCCCTAATTTCGTAGGTCGAATCTTTTTATATGTGCAAATGATTTTTGAATTAAACTATTCATTTGCTTAATTGTAAATTCGAGTTATCAAACCTGTTTTCATTAAAATGTAAAATTTTTCGATATACTTAGAATTGTAAAATTTAAGGTTTTCAATCCCGGGTTTGAAATTTATGTAATCCAGAGATCAAACCCGGAATTCAGTACATTTTAATCCCGGGATTGAAAACCCTAGTAAAGTTAATAGTTTTTGAAGATATTTTTTAAAAAAAATACTAAAATGCAGAGCTCGAAGTCGAAAGGATTCGAGCCAACTAAAGTTGATTCGAATCAAGTCAACTCAAGAATAATATTAATCCTTCAATTGCCTTCAATTTGTTGCTTTTGCTTTGAAAAATTAGAATTTTATAATTATTTTCAAGTTTTGAATAATTTATAAAAATTAAGAAATAATTGCAAAATCGAAGCATTTCTTTTCGAATTTCTACCTAAAGACCCTCAACTCAATACTTAATCTACCTCTCGTATCCTTATTATTACAACAGCAAAAACAGTCGGACATTACATGTGGACGACGAAGGCATCACATTGCATCAAATAAAAGAAATAAAGAACACAAAAATCTTCGCAATTCTTCTTCTTCCTTATTTCTTCCATACTTATAAAAATAATTTTTATTACTCTACATATAACTTACTCTTTGGTCAATTCTACACACACACACACATACATACAAATAAAGATTCCCAAAGCACACAAACAAATATTTTCATTCACTTGCCGCTCTCTTTTTCAAAACTTGCATCGACTTCTTTGCTTTATTGGAGCAAATTTTAAGAATGTATTTGTGAATACTGCATGCAGCTGTGTTAGTTTCCAAAAAATCAACACAAAATTTTATGAGGAAAAAATATATTCACCCAAAAAAAAAGTGAATTGAAAGACCGTAGTCCCACAAGACTCGTCGACAACAGCACACAAACAAGAGCAAAAAAATATTTTTATTTCAAATTACACAAAAAAAAGAGACGAGGGCGCAAATATTCTGATTTGACTTCTTTTTATATTCTTAAAAATTTCTTCTCATTTATAAGACGTCTTCCTTGCGGAACTGCTGTTCAGAAGACTTTTGGATTTTTCGGTGTCAAGACGAAAAAAAATAAATAATATTTTTGAGGATCGGAAACGCGGCAAAAACAGTTTTTTGGATATTTTTTAAAAAAAGAGAAAATAACTTGAATTTCAAAAAATATTTGTGAAAATAAAAGTTTGTAAATTCTTAAGAAAGTTAATAATCGTGATAAACATTGAACACTTAAATGGAAAAATCAATGAGTTTACAATAAAAATTTGATAATTGTTAAAAAATCAGTAAAACAGAAATTTTGTGAAAAGTGCTAAGGATTTGCAGGATTTAATTAGAAAATTTGATAAAAGTAAAAAAAAAATTAAAAGATAAAAGAAATTTCCACAAAAACCTACAAAATATTCATCAAAGCAAAAATTATTCAAAAGGACATCACATTAAAAATAAGTACCAAAAGAAGATTGGTGTGTTAATCTTAAAACAAGCCGGCAGTGCTTCATAAGGAACATAAGAAATCTTAATCAAAGATTTAGTGCAAAACAGCTTGTTAATCCAAAAACCTTTTAATTAAACTTTCAAACAAAATATTTAAAACAAACAAATCTAATTTCAAAATCTATGCAAAAAAGATAACAAAACGAGAAAAATTTTATTTTGTGTGAGAAAGAAAAATAGTAAAATATTCAGCGAGAAAAAGGACAATGACTTCATCACTCCTACAGAATTCACAGAAAACAATGGGTAAGTAATTGGCACTTAATATGTAATTTAGTATCATATAATATCTATGAAACAATATTGGATTAGTTTAAGGAAATTAGAATCTTAAATTTTAAACTTGATTAATTGAATTTTTGATTTGGGATTAAGGCGTTAATCATGATTGTACTTTGATAAATTTAATGTTATTTTTTTTAAATATTGAAATTTTTATTTAAAAAAGTCAAATAATTTTGTGATAAATATTTTGTAATTTTTTATTATTTTTTTTTTTAAAATCACGATTTTAAAATAAAAAATGTGGAACTTAAATTAGAATAGTATTTCTTTTACATTCCGGAAAAATTTGGGATCTAGTGTAAAAAAACGAAATGCGCAGCTTAAAAAAGAACAAATTTTAAAGCTCCTTGTAAGATTGAATCAATCTTAGATGGCATTTGTATCTTAGTCCACTGATTTAACTTCCAGAAGTTTCATTTCATCATTTTTAAATGCCTTACTTTGAGAAGCTCGTATGATGTGTTTATTACAAGGATGCTGAACTAATCAAATCATCAAAAATGATCAAAATTGATCAAAAATTATCAAAACATGATCAAAAGTGATAAAAACTGATCAAAAATGATCAAAATGTCAATCAGCTCCGCGCCCTTAGTTTAAAATCTGCTAACCTCATGTATTATTATTATTATATTTATTATGGTCCGAATTTAAATTAAAGGATTTTAACTTTTCCAAATATTCTACGACATTTATAAAGGAATAACTTCATGTATTAGATTGAGGATCGAAAAATATAATTTTCGCGAAATTTGACAAAATTGAGATTTATTGAAATCGTTAATGATTCACAAATGTAATAGTTTTAATCTAATACAGTTCAGCTCTAATTGTATTTATTCAAATTAATCCTACAATGGAAAAAGTTTTCATTATTTCTAAAAAAAAAACCAATAAAATTCCAAATAAACTCTAAAAAAACTAAAGAAAAAACAATTCTAAGACATCTCAATAAATCATGTCTTTTGGTTTGTCGAGTTAAAAAAGAAGTTGCCGCCTTTAACCCTTAAGAATGAGTAACAAAACGCACTCATAATCACATAAACATACATAATGTCTCTTTTTTTATAATACAAAAAATATAAATTTTTTTCTTATTCATTTGAGTGTTTTATTATGTCGAATGTGCTTTTTTAATTGTTTATTTTAAGAATGAGCGCTTTAAAGTATTATTTTTTTGGAGAATATTAAGGAATAAAAACGAATTAATAGATCCGATGACTAAGTTGGAAAGTAGGACGAGTGAAATGCGATAATAAAAGAAAGAAAAGAAAAGAAATTAGAGTTAAAAATGTAAATATTGCATCTGCTGTTTCACATAATAAATTTAACCCTAAAAAACTACATGGAAATTACAGTTTAGAGTAGTTTTAATGGGATAAAATGAAATCTACAGAAGATAATTTTTATGTGCGGTCATCGAATGGTAGAAAAAACCAGGTTCAGTTTTGTATTTTAATTTTTTCTTAAGAAGGAACTTTCTATATCTTGATGATCCACGGGAAATTCAAAATTTTGATTATCCTTCGAGTCGTGTTTGCAAATTTAAAAATTAATTCCAGAACTAATACGAAAGGTTTAGAATTGCATCAAAAAATCTCTGACTTAGTCATTAATAAAGTAATTTTGTCCTTAACCAACAATAAATCAACTTTTTGTGTCTCTTACTTCAAAATTGTGCAAAAATGTCTTCAAAAATTATTTTCAAAAATTCCAATTCCCACTCAACCTTTAATAAAATCATCCTCAATTCTTCCTTATTTTTTTTCTACCCGTTCATTTCTTTTTCCTTCCAAAATTTTCAATTCATTGGACTGCACATGTACAATATGATGCAATATGCCATTAAAAGCAAACAAAACGAAATGTTTCAATAACGAACAAAAATGAGTGTCACATGTGACTTCCTGTGGACCATTTGTGATCCTTTTCATAAACTTTTTGAGACAATTTTAAAGATCATCAATTTTCTGAAGTGAAATTGTACGCAATATTATGAAAAATGTGGAATTATATTTTTTAAAAAAAAATGGTGCAGCATGAGCCGGAATTTAAATTTTTAAAGGAAGTCTGACTAGTCGTGTTGATGAGTATTTTGTAATTGGAATGAGAATTTCTAATAATTTCGTGTTTGACAATTTTTAAAAAATTTCACAGTAATTAAAAAAGATTTCTTTGGGTGGAAAAGGAAATAATGTGAAAAATTAGTTTTTAAATTGAGAATAATTGGTTTTAAAAATGAAAAAATTCAATTATTTTAAAAAATCTCAAAAAACCGTCCTTTCATTTTCTTTTAATATCAAATCCATGAGTTTCATCTTCAATACTTTTCACTTTTTCATCTAAATTTATTCTATCCTTTTTCACAAACACATCGAAACGTGCAAATCCGAAAAAGGGAGAATTTTTTTTTTTTATTTTCATCATTTTCTTTTTATTCTTTGATAGAAACCCTTTTCCGTCCACCCTCATTGTTGATTCATCTTTCGTACTCGATTCTCCGTCGCCTCATCCTTTAGTTCTCTTGCGTGAATTTCGCGTGAATTTATAAAACATTTTAAAAAAAATTATTTTCAAATTTTTTAAAACAAAATATTTTCTTTCACCAAAACTTATCGAATTTAAAAAAAATTGCCAAAAGTAGTCAAAAATCTGCCCAAAATTCACCGCAAGATTTCAACCCTCACAATTTTATCTCTTCAATATCAGCATTTCGCACACATGATGACGACGATGATAAAGGGAAAAAGAAAACTTTTTATAGTAAAAGAGTTGCTCGAGACACCAACACAGACGAGAGAAGAAAAAAAAGTCTCATTTCCCAACCAAAACACACACATCACCCCATTTTATGCCTCATTCACAAAACATAACCCGTCCATTTCTCGGTGAACAACCATTTTTATCTCTGTTATTTTTGCGAACCCTCTCGAAAAAAAGAACGAAAAAAATTGTTGCCTTTTTATTTTCCACCCACGTGCGCGCATACATGCACAAAAACATTGAGAGAATATTTTGTGTTAGGGAACGGCATTTATAGCTAAGTGAACCCCCTCATTCTCTCTGCATGTTTGAATTTTATTGATAGGGTTAAAATGAAGGAAGAAGAAGGAGTTTGCTTTAGAAATAAGCATTGTTGACGATGACTATTTTTGCTTCAATCTTGAGGGTGAATTTTTTGTATGCTGTGTGGATGTATATCTTGGATAGTGGACAGTTTTCATATGGAGACAGGGTTAAGACATAAAAAGTCCAAGTAACATGGCATTTTTATGATTGAAGGGAAGATACATTTAATATCTTGTTGCTATACTTCTGCTAGTTTGTTCCAGTTCATTTTCAGTTGGACCTTAAATCGTTTCTTTAAAAAATACTTAAAAGTTTAAAATTATCAATTTGGCTAATTTTAAACGTCAATTTGACATAACTTTAGAAATAACTGAAATTTAACCTTATCCTGTAAATTTGGACATGACCATTTTATTCACAATAACGCTCCAATGTTTACAACTTTCACTCTCAATTATTCTCTCAATTTTTGTCCACAATTCAAACCTTTCACTTTCTCTTTACTCTCAATTCACCCCTTTTTCAACCTCCCTTTATCGACTCATTCTAATAATAATAATAATAATAATAATAATAATAATAATAGTTTATTACCAGAGGTATTTAGATAATTTGACATGTATAGTACAACGATACAAAATGTGAAGAGATAATATAATAAAACATTTAGAAAATTTATCATTTGTTAAAAATGAGGAATTTGAGCATGACACTAAATTTGAATCGGGTTTGCTTTGAAGTTTCGCGGAAAGACATAGCTTTTAAACGTGAGTTAAATTGTGGCGCTTTAGCATCGACGCTTTTATAAAGCACCTTCGAGACAGGCGAAAAGTTTATCAACTTTTGTGGTGACACACTGAACAACTGCGCATACAAATGGGTCCTAAAGGACACAGATTCCACAATTCAACCTCCATCAATGTGCATGATTCCACCTTCCGGTCTAGTGCAGATTGTAGGTTTCCGAAGCATATGGGTCTTTCAAATGTGACGAGAAAATTAGGAATAGATCAATCGCGCTGCAGGCAATGATTTAAAAACGAATCGTATCGCTGTAGCACTTTCGCAATGCACTGTCTTAAGGACACCTTCAAAGCAGGCGTAAAGTTAAACATTGTTAACTTTTTACTCCAAAAGTAATACATATGCGTGTGGATCCGTAGACACGTTTTCCACAGCGGTACGACCAGCATTAATACATGGGTTTCACTGTGAAAGTCTGATGTGAGAATGCTGGCTTCACGACAATTAATCTAACGGATAGTTTAATTTGACAAATTCGATCGCGAGCGATTTGGTGGAAAGTGTAGTGCCATTGCTCTTTGCCTTCTTATATCTTGTGAATTCATTGTATAGTTTAAGGCCTTTGTAGAAGATACTGTTTTGGGATGATGCCTTTGTGTAATTTTTTAATTGATATTCATCGTTCCTTCTAGTCGGATATTGATGACATGAACTGGTCTTTATCATGTGTTGCTGCAAATATATGGGCGATAAACCAATTGCTATTCTGTGAATGAATAAAATCGTATTAAGATATATCGTCTGTTTAACGGACAGCCAATTGAGCTTTTGAAGCATCTCGATTCTAGGCGTCAAATAATCTGCCTTTAACATTAAGCGTGCATATCGATTCATGACTTTTTGAAAGTCATTTATCTGTGTGTCACAGTCTCCTCTTTAAGAAAATCGTCTGCTGTGTCTGTATTTGTGCTGAATTTTCCTCATCATCTACACTCATATATCATAACTTACATAATACAACTACACGCGTGTACGAACATTTTATCAGGAAAATTTAATCTTGTTGATATAGTTTGTAGTAACATATTGTTGTCGTTCCTTCATGCTGTAAGTGTTGTTGTTGTGATAAGCAACAGACTGTAAATAAAAGGAGAGAAATGAGAGGGAATTGTAAAGAAATAATTGAGAGGATTTTATATCATTTTTAGAGGATAATGTTCGTGCTAAAAATAAGAATGGAAGTTGATATTGGAATTGAAAGGATCTAACCTCAAAATGTTAATAAAAAGCTACAGATTTTCAAATTATTATTCAAAAAACTCAGAAACAATTAAATGCAATATTCTAATCACAAATGTCCATTTTTATCCAATTCCAGATCTTGACGAAGCTATAACACCACCAAAACAAACCAACATCAAAAGTGAGCCATCAGATGATACAGCAGCAAATATCTTTGCGTGCTTCAATTCACCAGCACTTTCACTTTTTGCTCCACAACTTTTAACAAATCCATCAGCAGCCGCAGCTGCACTCATGGCGTCATGGCCAATTCAATTACGTGCTCAGCTTGCATCAACAATGGGTCTTCCAACACACACTCCATTCTTCCCACCTGGATGGCCAATGACACCTCCGTTGTCACATAAAAGTGGCAATTCACCTCCACCAACATCACCATTATCACCTATTAATCATAAGAAATCAATCAAGATGAATAACAACAATAATTACCCAAACATGAACAATAATCATATTGTGTCGACTACCAGTGACCTGATGAATATTAAAAAGTCAAATAAGAGGAAACAAAATGACGATAAGAATGACCACACCGTTCCTGGATCAATTTCACCACCAACATCAAGCTCATCGCCTCAGTCAAATAATTCAATTGACTTGAATTGTAATATTGGATCAGCAACAACGACAACAGCACGCGATCCAACAAAAGAGAAAATTTTTACATGTAAAATTTGCAATCGATCTTTCGGATATAAGCATGTGCTACAAAATCATGAACGCACTCATAGTGGAGAAAAGCCATTCAGCTGCAACGTATGCCAAAAGAGATTTACAAGAGATCATCACTTAAAGACACACATGAGACTACATACTGGAGAGAAACCTTATAGGTAGGTGCCATCATTATTTAAATTTAGAATCCTAACCCCAAGTCTTTAAAAAATCTTACAAAAAGCATCAAAAATTTAAACTAATTTTAATCACTTTTTCCTTTTATTCTAATAGCTGCAGCCATTGTGACCGTCAATTTGTTCAAGTTGCCAATCTCCGTCGTCATCTACGTGTCCACACTGGTGAACGTCCCTACACTTGTGAAATTTGCAACTCACGATTCAGTGACTCGAATCAATTGAAGGCACACATGCTAATCCACAATGGAGAAAAACCGTTTGAATGCGAAAAATGTTTAGGAAAATTCCGAAGACGTCATCACTTGATGCATCACAAGTGTGGATCTTCATCGATCAGCGATCAAAAATCAATCAATTCCGAAGAAGATTTAGAATTGAGTAGAAATTATCAAAATCTTTTAAAGTCACCGTCACAAGATGAAATGCCAATTAATCTTGCGAATGCAGATGGGAAATTGATGAGCAATTTTATGAAAAAGTTTAACGAAAGTCAAGCAAGAAATCTCATGCTGCCAATGCCACAAATCAACTTCATACAAACTGATTTACCTGAGCAAACTGAGCCTGAAGATCTCAGCATGCATTCACCAAAGTCACCAGTAACGATGGATGAGTTGGAAGATCTTGATGATGCTGCTACGTTGTACTTGAAGTTGCAACATAAGAAAAAGGCTGTTGGATTATGAATGGAATGAATGTTAATTGTTTTTTGCAATTTATGTGCCATAAAGTAAGAGAATATATGGAAAATAAATTTTTGGTTTTTCAAGGGATGGAACTCAAGAGAATGCTGAATTTTGTGACAAGACTTAAATTCATGTTTTGTCGTAAAATTTAAAAAGTTTGCCGAAATTAAATATTTAACCTCAAAATGTTACTTCTCCTGAAAAAGCCAAAATTTAAAATTCAAATTGTGTAAACTATTTAGTTATTATTTCTATTTTTTATTTGTTTGTTTGTTAAATAAAGTAAGACAAGACATCTTGATCTTCAGGGATAGTCAAAATTAAAATTGTATTTATGAAAAATTATTATATAATTATTTTTTTTTAATTTTTGAATGATTAAAATCTTAATATTATCAAAAATTAATTTTGATTGGTAACAAAATGGACAGTCTTGTTGAATTCTAGCAGGAAAATGATTAACTAGGTTTCTGAAAATAAAAAATTTCAAAATTTAAAAACTTATTAAAATTGATACTTTTTTAAAATTTAAAAAATTTGAAACCATCTCAATGTTATTTTAATAAAAATCTGTAGCTTTGTTTTACAATTGAATATTTTTCAGTAGCTAAGATCTTTTGTCAAACCTAAACGCTTATCTTTCTGCTATAATTTCCCAATTCTAATCAAAATTGAATATTTTGAATATATTTTATGATGTGTCATAAAAAGCTAGAAAAATCTGTAAATAAAAACTTTCAAATATAAAATAAAAATGTTACAAAAAAATACTACCTCAAAAATCGAACTTCATTTAACAAATTTATTGCTATTTCCAAAACTTAAATTTATTAAAAATCTATTTAAAGTGTCGAAAATAAATTACAATAATCTCAAGGAAATTGAATACAAAGAAAAATTCTTAGTCGTAATTTTAAATCAAAATGTATAAAAAATATTATAAATAAATTTGAAAAAGTAAAAAATTTGAAAATTGAATTAATAATTTTTTTTATTTTTAAATTTACAGAATTTAATCCATTTTTTCATAGCACAATCTCCATTATGACAATTTAGTTCCTCAAAATTTTACCACATCTCATAAATTATCGTCGTTGGCGTTTCGCTTCAATGGTGGTGGTTCAATAAAAAGGGGTAGACTGTAATGGATAATAAAACAGCAGAAACAAATTAATTTTGAGGCCATTTTTCTTGTGAATTTTTTCACTCGATAACAGTTGGTCGAGAAAAAAATAATGTTGGTTGAATTTTGTGAAATGTGAAAAATTTATGATGGTTATTTGGAAGACAAGAGGAAGAGGCAGAAGGGTGAAAAAGGTTTAGAAATTAATGAAACGAATTGGGAGAAATTTAGGAGAATTTGAGTTTTGTAATTCTGAATTTTATTAAATTTTAAGTACAAAATTTGACACAAAACCAAAACTAGCATTTGAGCTAGACAATGAAAATATGTTTTGAATGATTTCAACAATTACATTCGACCAGGCTTTTCACAGACGTCTTGTTAATCAAGAATAACATTAAATTGTTGAATATTTTCATGTCCTTATTAAAATAATAATTTCGAATGAACAAAAAACAAATTTTTCCTATTAATTTCAAACAAATTTAATCATTAATTTAACGAAAATGCTCGTGTAGTTCAAAAATCCCAAGGGTTAAACCTCACAATGAGCAATTCTTTTAAGGTTGAAGAAAAATTTTATGAATATTATGTCTGCAATAAACAACCGTAAAAATTAATAGCAGCCTTCACGCAAATGACGGTGAACTGTTGGATTGTAAAAAAGTTCTATTTTTTAACAGTTTTTTGTGATATTTTTCAAGAAAGTAAGGTAAAAAGAGGGTTGAATGGACTAACATGAAGTTTTAATTTGTAATGAAGACTTTTTTATCCTTTCATGTTAGCCACAGTTCTTGAAACTTTAATTTAAGTCTTATTAAAAGTCATGAAAATTGAACATTAAGCTGTGTGTAGGGTTTTATGGAATTAAACAAGAACTCATTTAAAATTGATGGACGAGACCTTATTAACCACCACATACATATAATAGCTTTTAATATTAATTTTAAAAAAAAGAAATAATGAAAATAAATTTTAAATAATTAAAGAAAATGAACTGAAACACGTGTTGTTAATTTAGTCAAATTTAATTTTAATTTGCTCTTGTTCGTTTGGTTTTACCAGAGCTCGAAGTTTAGGCGAGTTGACTAGAGTCAATTTTATCCGAGTCCCTTAGAACTCAAAGTCGTCTCAGGAAAAATTAGCTCGACTCAAGTTGACTCGAAATTTCTTGAAAAAGATGAAGTCGACTTTAGAAAAGTTGAGTCAACTCGGTTTAGGTCAATCGACTTCGAGATCTGCGTTTGAAACGTTCATTAATATTTTTTCTAGTTTTGTTGGTTTGAGAAGATTTTTAAGTGGTGCTAATGGCTTATAAATTCATGAGTTTCTGAACGAACCATTTTTTTCGTTCAAAAGAAACAATCTTTAACAGATCGCGATCACAAAACTGATATTCAAACCTTCCACATTATCCCCTATGAGCCACAAGTCTCACTTCTTCCATAAAATATCAAGCACGAGTCAAAATCATCCAAGCAATTTAAGCTCATGAAACATGAACAAAAATCTATCCTTAAAAAATTCTAAATACCAACAACTTCTTAATATTCTCCCTACCTCAAATTTTTACATCCTCAAAAATATTTGGTAATTGTTACCTAAAATAAATAAGATACTCAATAAAAAATTACATCAAATAGGAACTGTAAAAAAAGACTCACAAAACCGCTATTTTTAACATGCTATGCCACACTTTTCACATTAATCAAAATAACCCCCGAGCATCTTCAATCTTTTTAAACTCCCTTCTTATTCATAAATTTGAAGGAATTGAAATGAAACCACAAATAAATAAAAATTTGAGATGATTTTTTTTCCCTTTTTTATTCATAAAAATTTTAAGGAAGATTTTTTCTATTTTTTTATATGTTTATATTAACTGTTGTTCTTTATCCAACAACAGCTTTACGCTATTATTCACTTTTTTTTTCGGGAGAGTAAATTGAATTGATGAAGAAGGAACAGGCAGAAGATACCCAAAAAATGAAATATAACGGTGGATTTTGATGAGTAACAATTGATACAATGAGAAATTCCAGTTATAATCCTATCCGTACTATTTATACGTGTAACCCGAAATAAATTCACCAACAGAAAATTGAGAAATAAAATAAAAATTTAAGCAGCAAGTAAGAAATTGATTTTATCGGTAAATATGGAAAGAGGCGCATTTTTATGGGGCATGTCGAATTCCAGAGGCTCTAAATCGCCAGATAAGACACCAGAAAACTCAAACAATTAGTCAATCTAAAATCAGATTAATCTTAGAGACCGTTCACTTATGACGTCCAGGTGAGGGGGGAAGGGGGGGGGGGGGGGGGGTGGGGTCAACAACAAAAGAACAATATAAATTTCTAGAAATCTATTGGGTTTCTTGAATAATGACAGTTAATTTCAGACATCATAAGTGAACGACCCATTATCCTGAAAAATGAGCTAAATATCCACGGTGAACACATTAAAAAATTTCAAAAAGAGTTGATAAAATTTTACACAAAAAATTACCCAAAAAAAAAATATCATCAGGAAGAGGAAAACAAAACAAAACCGAACGAAATAAAATTCGAGACACGAGTAAAACATCTGTCAGATTGTAAAAGGAGAGAGGGTAGAAAAGAAGAAATAAGACGCAATCGGGGCTATGCCTGCCTCTCTCTCTCGCACTCAATTCACTTCAAATTCACTACTCGAGTTTCCAAAAAACTGTAAAAATATTTTTTTATAGAAAAAAAAAAAAAATTCAACCCTCATTTCAGTGCTTGTTACCATTGAAAGACACATGCAATGAGGCAATTGAGAGCTGAGATCGCTGTGCATGCAGGAAAACTTTTTTTTACATCCCTTTCAATAATCAATGAATAAGGTTGCATCAATAATAACAGAAATATTTTTTCTCCTTTTTTTGAGACGCGATCTCTGACCTCTGTCCAATGTTCAGTGATGCATTTTGATGGGTTGGTAGGGAAAAAAATTGTTTTTAAACAAGAATTTGAAAAAATTGATTTTAAGGTTTTGTGGGTAACTTGTTTTGTCTACCAGAATTCGAAAGCTTGAATTTTCGTGACAAATCGTAGATTATTCATTTTTGTGTCATTATTATTAAAAGTTTTTTGAACTATTTCCAATCGGAACTAGGTTCACTACGTCACATAAAAACAATCACTTCAAATGCGCTTTACAATGTGCCATAGTATTTTTACTTACAAAAACATACTAACCAGTCAATTTCCAATGTTGATGCTGAGTTTTGACTGTTTCTATTTTTATGTAAAATTTTTAATTCCACTTTTTTGTGTAAATTTTTTTGCAATAAAATCTAAATTCGTTAGCAGATATAAGGGATGTAGAAATGATGCCTGATGTTTGAAATGATAATGACTTCATGGTGCATTTTTATAAGTTTTATGTATTTTTGAAGATTTTTTTTTGAATTAGGTTTGCAAAAAAAATGTCAGAAGGGATCGAATAGCATGCAAATAAGAACATTGATGCGTGCAAGAAAAAAAGGTTCCATTTTGTTTTAATTTTTATGCAATTTACATGAATGCAACAGTTTGTGTTGGGGTCGAATTTGAAAAAAAAAACATGCAAAATATTAACGACAATTTGAATTTAATGGTCTAGAAATCTTTCAACAATTGCAACTTCAAGATTTCTTGTCACATATTTTTTATTTAACTTGTCAGGGAATGCAAAATATATTCACAGTTGAAGTTTTTTTATGAATCGATGAACTTTCAAGTGACTTTAAACGACAAAATAACGTCGGAAAAAAATTAAAGATGTGTTGGATTTTGATGGATAGTAATGAGAATATTTCTTTATTCATTATTTTCAGCAAGGGTCCATGTATAAAGTGCAACGATGATTTTTAAAAATTTAAAAGATTTACAAAGATTTAATTTTGTTCTTCTTTCCTTATTTTATCATTGCAATACCGACACAGCGATCATGGGTTCGAGACTTGGCACGGAAAATTTTTTAATTGTCCTTTATCGAATCATATGTACTGGAAATGAGGCTCACAGCCTTTCTTTGTAGGCTACAGGCAGAAATGTCATCAAATTAGTTGTTCGGAGTCCACTATAAATTGAAGGTCTAGATTTGAGTGCAGAGGTTTGGCGCATCCTCACTCGTTAAACTCTCATTAGCCTTGTAACGCATTCAACGCACAGCTATGGATCTTAAGGTCTGAATGCTTTTTCTTTCCTTATTTTAGCACATAGTAATTTATAGGTACAAATCTTGTAAA